ACCAGGTTTTGGACTGTTACAATGGGGAGAACCGGAGCATCCCGGAGAAAACCCCAACATGCACAGTGAGAATATGTAAACTCCACCGTGCAGCCCTTTCTTTAAATAAACAAAATAATTTGTTAATGGAGGGCTTTTTCCCAGTATGTGACCCAATAAAGCCGGAATAAAAAGTATTTTTTTTCCTGTGTTGGGGGGGTCCTGGGAACAATCCAAACCACAGCACAATACCACACACTGAGGAAGTAAAGCTCATGGTGGCTGTAAGTGTGGCATTATTCTAAGACCAGAAATGATGGATCTTAAATATCCTGGCACACATTTTCCTGACGTTTCTGAACCGTTTGTTGGGTTTCAACTCAACAAACGGTGAGATGTTCTGTGTATCTTCTTCAGATGAGTCCTCCTCCTGAACGTCAGGTGCTGTTTCATGCACATTTTCTCCCAAGTCCTTGATGACGGCTGATGTGTCTTCCTGTTGAACGTCAGGTGCTGTTTCATGCACATTTTCATGCACATTTTCATGCACATTTTCTCCCAAGTCCTTGCTGACGGCTGATGTGTCTTCCTGTTGAACGTCAGGTGCTGTTTCATCCACATTTTCTCCCAAGTGGTTGCTGACGGCTGATGTGTCTTCCTGTTGAACGTCAGGTGCTGTTTCATCCACATTTTCTCCCAAGTGGTTGTTGACGGCTGATGGGTCCTCCTGTTGAATGTCAGGTGCTGTTTCATCCACATTTTCTCCCAAGTCGTTGCTGAAGGCTGATGACACCATTCTGGGCTCAGGAATTGAAGTATTGATGCTGGGTTGGTAGTCAGCCATGATTTGTAAAGCCTGGTTCACATAGGAGTTATTACTGAGGATTGGCAGATGCTCCATGCTGATGAAATTGTGGTTTAGTGCATCTTCTGGAACAATTCGGTCTCTGGGATCCACAGCAAACATCCTTTTGAGAAGGTCTACAAACTCTTTTAAATCCTGCACTTCATAAGGATCATCAATACTTGATGTCACCTGTAGCAGGTCATCCAAAGACTGTAAATTATTGCGGGTGCCATCTTTTTCACGTATTTTCTGTCCAGTCTCCGCTTGAAATTCTTCAGCGGTTTTAAATCTCCACGCACCTTCAGACTCTGTTTGGTCAAGTGTAAAATATTGATTGACCCGGCACGCTCTGTCTAGTACAGATTTATCAGGCTGACCAAGGAGACTCACAATTGACTTCAGGATCCCATAGTTAGAATACCCGGAAAAGACATAACGACCTAGAAGGAGCTCGCCCAACGTGCAGGCAACACCCCACATGTCAATTGCCTCATCTGGTGGAAATCCCAGGAAGACTTCTGGAGCTCTGTAACCTGGAGCCTGAAATAAATCCTGGTCTGATAACTCAGACGTTAAATGACAAAGGCCAAAGTCAATTAATTTAACCCTAAAAGGTGTACAGGACTGATTAACTAACATTAAGTTGTCTGTTTTAATGTCAGTGTGTGTCAATCCAAGATCTTTCAAAGCTTTGAGAGCAATAAATGATTGTTTGGCGATTGCTCTAAGCTCAGATACCCTCAGAGGTGACCGGTGTCTTCGGACCATAAAGTCACGGAGGCTCTCGTCCAGCAGCTCAAACGTGAAACAGTAACAGTCACGATAGAAGAACCAGTCCAAACATTTCATAACATTGATTCGGTCAGGATCAAATTTCTGAAGACGTAAGAATGCTTCTACCTCTTTGTTAGCAGAGTACCCGTCTTCTTTAGCCAGTACTTTCAACGCAACAGCCTGATTGGTGTCACCTTTACGGCATTTAACCACTAATCCAAATGCCCCTCGTCCAAGAATTTTTTCAACATGATAAACATTTGACTTGTTACAAATAGTAACACCTTCTCCTATTTCGTTTATCAGATTTATTGGCTCTGAGACTGGGTCATCTGTAACATTGTGGCCCCCTTCAGCTGAAACGTTACCGGCAGGTGACGCCATTCTGGGAGCAGGAAGCAAAATATTTCCCTCATCACAGTCCATGAGTGAATCTTCTGTGATTCTGGGTTGGCAGTGAGACATGACTTCTAAAGCCTGTTTCACATAGGAGTTATTACTGAGGATTGGAAGATGCTTCATGCTGATGAAATTGTGGTTTAGTGCATCTTCTGGAACAATTCGGTCTCGGGGATCCACAGCAAACATCCTTTTCAGAAGGTCTACAAACTCTTTTAAATCCTGAACTTCATAAGGATCATCAATATACGATGTCATCTGTAGCAGTTCATCCAAAGACTGTAAATTATTGCAGGCTCCATCTTCTTCACAGATTTCCTGTCCGGTCTCCGCTTGAAATTCTTCAGCCGTTTTAAATCTCCACGCACCTTCAGACTCAGTCTGGTCAAACGTAAAATACTGATTGACCCGGCATGCTCTGTCCAGTACAGATTTATCAGGCTGACCAAGCAGACTCACAATTGACTTCAGGATCTCGTAGTTAGAATACCCTGAAAACATGTGCTGCCCCAAATAGAGTTCGCCCAACGTGCAGGCAACAC